CAGAATCAAGAGTTTTTTTGGAGTTTAATATAACATTTCCAATTAAACAATTTTTAATACAATATGGAACAATTCACAAATTTTCTTCTCCATTACGACATCAGGACGATTCTGGTGTTTTCATTTATCTTCTAACCGGACAAACTTTTGTTTCAGTTTATGATGAATATAAAAAAAATTTTTATCTTACTCACGACCAATCAGAAAAAATCATTTCTTATTTTACCTTTAGAAAATTATGGCATGAAATGGTTTCTAATCTTCAATTTCAACCACGTGCAAGCAATCTTTGTGAAGTTTGCTCTTCTTTTAAAGCTAAATTGTTAGTTGCAAAGTGAGATATAGACGAATATAACAAAGTTCAAGTTGAATATGACAAGCACAAGAAAGCTGCAGATCTTGAAAGACAGTACTATAATAATAATATTAACGAAAGTATAAATAATCCAAATATTACACATGTTTGTTATGATTGGGCGCAAAATGTTCATATACCTTATTCGCCACAACAAGTAGGTTCGCTTTACTTTAAATCTCCTTTCTCCATACATATATTCGGTGTTTGCAAAACTGGTGAGCAAAATAATCAACTAAATTTTTTGATTGGCGAAAATGAATTTCCTGAAGGTGTTTCAAAAGAAGCTAACACCACATTAAATATAGTCTATCATTTTCTTCTAAAAACTAAAAAAACAAAAAAATTATGAATTACTTGTAACAATTACAGTGGACATAACAAAAATAATTTATCACTTTGGTTTTGGTCTTGGTTATATCTATTAGGTTGGTATAAAGAAATTATTATTAATTTTATACTTCCGGGACATATGAAATTCATCTGCAATTCATTTTTGGACAAATCAAAAAAGTTTATAGAGATAATCGTGTTAACACTGTTGATAATATAGAAAATATTGTAAATTATTCATCAAAAGGAAATGAAGCAATTTGGTATAAAAATGGTATAGATTGGGTTTGGTACGATTTTAATTCTTTTTTAAAAAATAACTTTACACCTTTACCAAATATCAACCAATATTATCATTTTCGATTTAATAGCTTAGAGATTGGAAAGGTATATATCTCAAAAAAGTCAGGCAGAGAAGAAACTTCTTTTCAGTTATTGCATAATAATGATTTTGACACAAATAGTAAATTAATTATTATTTCTATTGTACCTTTATCAAATGATCGAAAAAAATATTTATACACAAAAATTCGTCAACATGTTGACGACCCATATAAAGATGTTCTTTGTCCACAGCTTTAATACAGTCAGACCTCTTTAAGTGCACCCTCTATAAGTGGAGTAATATATAAAGAATTATAGTATGAAAAATAAAAATAGTAGCATAGCACAATTTTGGATTTTTATACTCATACATACAATTAATAATTAGACTTATAATACTTACAAGTGTAAAGTTAACTATACTTATGAGTATAAAGGTAATCATACTTATAAGTATACTTTGTATATTCATTTAAACTGGCCATATTTTAGTATTTGTAGGTTTTTTTTTTACAATTATAATGCTAATTTACTTTTTTTACTGATATTTAAATCTGTGAAATCATGTAACTAGCCTTCAAATATTGAAATACATACCTATTCTAATTTTCACTTTTTAATTTTGATTTTACAAAATTTGATTTGTATTGTGTTCGTAGAATGCTAGATAATGAGAATTTACTATATAGATATCAGGTTGTTAGAATGAAAGGTTATAATGAGAAATGAAAATGTGAAGCAAATATTTCAGGTGATATGTGTACTAGCATTGAAAATGATCGTAGGAAATGCAAGTGATCGGGTCCAAGATCTGATGCATAATTAGAGATGGCAAATGTTTTAAAACGTGATCTTAAAAAACATGTTTGTTTGATTTAAAA